CTTGCTCAGCAAAGTATTACAAATTTGCAATCTTTTAAGCCCATGTAACTTAAAAAATACTTCAGTCCCTCCTCAGTTCAGGTTTGGGGTACAGAAAGTCTCAAAACCTAAAATAGTCATATCTGAAACGATAAATCTTTCAAATGCACAGCTCTTTACCACCTAGGAAAGACCGCAGTTGGATCCGTAATGGTGATCACCCACACACATAATGCTGTCTCATTTTTCTTCAATTTAATTTTTAAAGAGAGCTTGAACTGTAACTCCAGGTAAAATCAATTTAATTGGGACAGAAGCTCAGCCAACAACGAAACCATTGGCAACTTACTCCATTATAACCCCTTCCTGATTAAATGTAGTTAGGGCTTTGTCAACGGTTTATTCCCTGTGGTAATTTAAACTGCCCCTCCTGGAACCCAACGCTGCCCTGTCACAGGGGTTCTGCACTCAGGTACTCTGGCACTCCGGGTTTAAACGGAGATCATTTCCTCTTGCTACAGCACCCCCGCTGTCGAGGTGCCGGGGCCCTCCCCTGAGGTTACCGGCTGGCAGGTACGTGAGGGCAGGCCCCAGGGGACGCGGCCGTCACCTGTCAGCAGGCGCGCACGGCCCCGCGCCCCTTTCTAGGCGGGGCCGAGGCGCCGCGCCGAACCCGCCCTAGCAACGGCAGCCCATCCGGCACCTTGTGAGCTTCCGCCGGGAGTGCGGTGGCGCCAGCGGCCGTCCTGCGCGGGGCGGGGTTGCTGCTCCCCGGTAGGCCCATCCAGCGGGCGCCGAATGTGGCCCGCCCAGAAACTCCTCCAGGGAGCAGTGGAGTGTGCCGCTAGAGCGCCCGCGCGGCAGGGCGCTTCAGTAGGCGCCGCGTACTCGTCTCTGTGGCCAGGCCTGCCCCTCCGGCTGCGCGTGGCACCGTCGGGAGCGGAGCGGCCGTGACGGGTCCATCATGATGAACAGCGGAGGGATTGGGGTGCCTCTGGGCTTCCCCCTGGGCCCCACGTCCGTCATCCAGGTCACGAACCTGTCCTCGGCAGTGACTAGTGAGCAGATGAGAACTCTCTTCGGCTTCCTAGGAGATATTGAGGAACTGCGCCTCTACCCACCGGAGTAAGTGGGGCGTGTGCCGGCCTCCAGAGAGATAGAGATTTGGAAGGAGGGAGAGGTCCTGAGGGGGGTGGTGTGGATGGATAAGGCGGAATGCCCTGGGCGCCATTTTGAGTGCGGGCAGCGCAGCCTTCTGCGGGAGGATGTAGGTCACGTGGTCCCACCGCTTTGTATGGCAGGAGCGGCAAGGGGACGGGAGGTTTAGCCCGTACCTAAGATGGCGGTGCCGCCAGAGGGAGGGAGCAGCTGCGGCATCCCTGGAGCGGCGGTGTTTGTGTGCAGCAGCCAGCGGCCCGCAGTGAGCCCGGCCTGTGTGGGGAGCCGGCACCGAAGCACAGCCGAAAGCCTGGCGAGAAGTGTGCCCGCGCCGCTTCCCGGCGCAGGTCGTTTTTTCTTAAAAAAAACCCTTTCTGCGGCCCACCGTTCTGTTCCGTCGACCTGAGTGAACGGTGGTGGGCGAGAGAGCCCCAGGCCCGATCCCCGCCCCGCTGGCCCAACCGGTGTGTGCCGGTGGGACAAACCAGTTCTTTTATTATTTATGTCAGTTCTTCTCCACATTCCTTCCCCCTTTCTCCTCTTCTCCCTCGCCCCCCCCCCCCCCCCCGTTTTTTTCTTTTATTTCCTCGGCCTCTTCGGAGGCCTTTCCGGGAAAACGCCGCTCGGAAAACGCCGCTCGAACAGAAGCCAGAATAGCTGTTCACAGGGGGTCGGAACCTGCTTTGCCTTGAAATAACCCTGACAAGGCGTGCAGAAAATTACAGTTAATAACGGACATTACACGTTTCTCCTCACTGTAGTTCTTATGTCAGCTGCGTGCGAGGGATGCACTCTGATGGGGGATTCTGAGGCTCACAAATTAACAATATTATTTCCCCAAGCAGATGATGATCAACAGGGGAGGAAACAAAGAGTTGGGTATCTTTTAATACGTTTGTTGTACTAGGAAGTGAGTGGCAAGCATGTTCTTTCAAAAACATCATCTTACAAAAATTAAATGGGAGTAGCAGAAAGGGGAGGGAGCCATTCACGTCCAGATACTTCAGTTTTAATACAAATAAGACGTGTAGGTGAACAAAATACTGATTTTTTAAAACTGACTTGCAGAAAATGTTGATATTTATCAATTGTAATATGTCACTACATTACATCTGAGTGGATTTGAATGATGACCATCCTGAAAATTTACATATGATTTAATATGTACATATGATTTAATATGTACATATGATTTAATATGTACATATAAAGTATAAGTAACAGGAATGCATTTATGTAAATTTAGGCTTAAAACAGCCTACAGAGTTTTAAACAATCCTTAGTAGGTCTCTGGTGATTTTTCACACAGTTTCTAGGGGTTTACACTGGTTTTATTCTATACTTGCTTCTTAATATGTTTGAGTTTTCTCCTGGCTGAATATATTTTTTGTTATAGATGGTGCTGTTATTTTCCAGTTAAATTGTAAGGCAAATAGATACTTTCTTTACATGCAAATAATTCATATGCAAATAATATTTGTGCCTGTGTATAAAATTTTGCAAGTGCAAAATATTAAAATCCAGTACCATAGTAGGCTTTGACATGGAAATGTCAAGGTTATAATTCTGTAAGCATCAGTTCTAAATTATTAATTTTTCAGAGATAAGATGCAGGTTTGTGATTACTTATTTTGCTCTTGGTTTTATTTATCGCTTTTATGTATAATTTTTATGTATAATTTTTAGAAATATTATTTTCCTTGCCTGATGGCTATGGGCATAGGAACTGACTTTCAAATTGCTACCTTGGAAAAATTATTTACAATAACGGCCTTATTTTGAAAGAGACATGCTTCCTGTTGACCTGCTGAGAACATATTTGAACAGTATTACCATAAATAAAAAGTTTCATTGACAAGTGCACAGGGAACAAAGGTGTCTCAAGCAAAAAGATGGTAAAATAGTTGTCTGGAATTTGTTAAAATTATTTTTTGCCACTGTTTTTTCCTTAGGTATTTAATGACCTAAGACCTAGATTAAAAAAGAAATACAATTATCTATTAATTCAGTTAAAAGGGAAATTTGGTTTTTTTTTACATTAGAATGAAAATCAGCCAGAATATTTTGTCATCTGATCTTAGCTTTAAAATTGATTCTGTAGGACATCCAAACTTTCAACGTATTCTAGGGCATTAATTTTGTTATCTTCATGGAACAACAGCGGAAACTTGCTTTTCAATCCAGTTTCTACATGGAAAACATAATTCAGTAAGTTGAATTAGTGAGCTGCAGGTCTCATGGATACAGACTACGAACTGAAAAACATTAATATGCTTTTTTAAATTTATGCTTAGGAATAAGAGGAAGGTGACTTAGCAGCTTTCAGTAATTTGAGAGTGTGTGTGTTACCTAAGTTGAAGCTTTCACTGAGGTTGGAACTCCCTTTGCTATTCTTTGCATAGAAATACATCGTTAAAAAAAATAAAGCCAACGATTCTTGTTTCAAGAATAATGAAAGATGTAGTATTAAAATGAGTGTTATCCTAACTTTCTGAATATATTAAGCAGTGAGCTGAAGGTGTTACATTACATTGTGTTGAAATGCAACCTGTTTTCTCTCTCTAATTCTGTAATGCAGATACTCAGCTCACACACAAAACAACTTACTTAGTCAAGCATGAGTTCTTGGAGCAGAGTGAAGTTGTGTTCTCTTCTGTATGCATTATTTCATAGAATCATAGAATAGGGTTGGAAAGGACCTTAAGGTCATCTAGTTCCAACCCCCCTGCCATGGGCAGGGACACCTCACACTAAACCATTTCACCCAAGGCTTCGTCCAGCCTGACCTTGAACACTGCTGGGGATGGGGCATTCACAGCTTGCTTGGGCAACCCATTCCAGTGCCTCATGACCCTCACAGTAAAGAATTTCTTATATCTAATCTAAACTTCCCCTGTTAAAGTTTGCACCCATTACCCCTTGTCCTATCACTACAGTCCCTAATGAAGAGTCCCTCCCCAGCATCCCTGTAGGCCCCCTTCAGATACTGGAAGGCTGCTATGAGGTCTCCACACAGCCTTCTCTTCTCCAGGCTGAACAGCCCCGACTTTCTCAGCCTGTCTTCATATGGGAGGTGCTCCAGTCCCCTGATCATCCTCGTGGCCCTCCTCTGGACTTGTTCCAACAGCTCCATGTCCTTTTTATGTTGAGGACACCAGAACTGCACACAATACTCCAAATGAGGTCTCACAAGAGCAGAGTAGAGGGGCAGGATCACCTCCTTCAACCTGCTGGTCATGCTCCTTTTGATCCAGCCCAGGATACGGTTGGCTTTCTGGGCTGCGAGCACACACTGCAGCTGGCTCATGTTAAGTTTCTCATGAACCAACACCCCCAAGTCCTTCTCCGCAGGGCTGCTCTGAATCTCTTCTCCGCCCAGCCTATAGCTGTGCCTGGGATTGCTCCGACCCAGGTGTAGGACCTTGCACATGGCATGGTTAAACTTCATAAGGTTGGCATCAGCCCACCTCACAAGTGTGTCAGGGTCCCTCTGGATGGCATTCCTTCCCTCCAGCGTATCAACCGAACCGCACAGCTTGGTGTCATCAGCAAACTTGCTGAGGGCACACTCAATCCCACTGTCCATGTCAGCGACAAAGATGTTGAACAAGACTGGTCCCAACACCGATCCCTGAGGGACACTACTTGTTACTGGACCCAGCGGGCAGGGTCACTCCAGTCGAGGGCCAGCTTCTCTGCCAGGCAGGAGGGTGGAAGCAGCTGTTCCTCCACCCCACAGGCATGTGTGAGCGTGGTTCGCAGCCTTGACTTGCCGTCCCATGCCTGGCAACTGTGAGCTGGGCTGTGAGGCATCTCAGAGGCACTGGGTGGGTGAGGTGGCTGCATGCACAGGTTGGGCGGTGGGCCCTGGTGGGAGCACGTATGGCCGCGGCAGGGCCTGTCGGCACGAGCCTGCGGTGCCGCCTCAAAATCCATTATTATGGATGGAGACAAGGCGCATGACAGAGTTGTGGTACATGTGGGCAGCCACCTTGAAGATGCTGTAACATTTTGGGTACAGAATATCAGTAGATGTGATGACCTCTTCAAATAAAGTTGTGAGCTGGCAGATGCTTGTCCTAAAGCTAATGCAGGTTTTGGCAAACCTGATTTTGGTAAGATACATGGTGGCTGTTTTTCTGAAGACAGATGTTGGTACAGGTGTATGGTACAGCAAGTGATCAGCAATGAAAAATGTCAGGTATTATACATAGACTATGGAAATTATGAGGTTCTGAATAGATCAGACATAGTGGAAATTCCACTGGATTTGCAGTGTCCGAGCATTGCCAAGAAGTACAGACTCCAGGGACGGCAGATAACGGCTGATCAGAATGTAAACATGTTTGATGAGGGGAAGAAGTTGTTGAGCAGCCTAGTTTTTGAAAAAGAAAGAAAAATACGTCACAAAGCCAAATTCGAAGATGGTGCCATTATTGCCCAGGCAGAACATGAAAAGATTGGAGAAGAGGTGGCCAAGGCAGGGTTTGATCAAAGATGCACATCTCCAGGGTACACTAAAGAGGCAGAAGAGAAAAAAGCAGATGTCATGCAAATGCAGAATCGAAAGATGAAGATTTCGGTTCTGCTGTGGTTAAACAGGTCTGATCACACGATGCACAGTTCCCCAAGAGGGCATGTTCAGCAAGGACCTGCTGGCACCAGGAACTGGAGTTTTCCTGGAGACTGGATGTTTGCCCCAAAGGAAAAGGTACTAGCTTTCACCTCAGTGCCAGACACCAGCTTGGCACATGTAAGACCAGATCAGAAGCTGCCTGAAGAGAAAGAAGTTCTGAGAAGGGAGAATCTGGATCTCTTGCAGAGGCAGAAGGAGCTAGAGTTGAAGGTTCAAAAGCTTAAATGTGAGCTTCAGAAAGAAAAGGAAGTGTCTAGGAAAACTACTGAAAGTTTTGAGAAGACCCTGCATACTTACATAGGAACAAAAATGGGAAGCTTGGCCGCTAAGGTGAAGGCACTGAAAGAAGTTAGGCATACAAATAAGAGCAGTCATTCTGGGGAGCAGCTGTTGGAAGCCATGAAGGTGGTTACAGAAGCATGTCTCACTGAAGAAGATTTGGACAGAGTATGACTTGGCTCAATAAAGGATTCAGTTATGCACAAATGTGGATGAAAGAGATGAATTGATCAGTAAGAGAGATGAGGTGCAGCAGAATTTGTATTCAGCAGTGAAAGAATTAATTTTGGAAATGGATCAGCTGCCTCTCTTGGAGCGCTCAAGAATGTTACAGAACTGTGCTTCTCTGGAGATGTATGATCAAGGTTCTGAAGCAGGTGACTCTGAGGAGGTATTTGAAGAGTTCTTGTAAGTGGAAGAGAAAACAGAAATTGATTTGTGTCAGAAATGATACAGACAGCTCTGCGAATTCTTGCTGACTGGTTCATGTATATAGAAAAGGGGTATTCATGTTACAGAATTTATTGTAGAAGTAATTTGTAATCCTGTTGCCTTTGCTGGGTATGCTTATTTCTAATGGATGTTAATTTCCAGTTCTGTGGATAATGGACTTTGTACAAAGACCTTTTTCTACAGCCTTGTCTGCAGCAGTCTTCTGGTGTTAATATTTTTTTAACATACTTTCCACATAGCTTTTGTGATCGAAATCCAGGAAATGCAGGGGGAGAAATACTATATAAAAAATTCACTTGTCAGAGGTGCCTCTATAGATGCTGAAATTCATAAGGATTATTCGTGGAGCCTGCAACTGCGTGGAATAGAATTATGCTTTTAAGCAAGTAATGAAAACAAAAAAAAACAACACCCAACACCCCCCTCCCCAAAGTTAAAAAAACCCTCCAACTAACACCACAAAACAAATAAATAATTTAAAACCCCCTACAAAACCTCAACCCATCAACCAAAAAATACCACAAACAAACCCAAACAAAGCCTGGGATATACTTTAGTTCTCAACAATCTGGACAACAGAATTTTCAGTGGAGCCTTGAGCCAAACCCTAATCAACAACAACAGTATCAAAACACCCTCTCCTCCCACAAATCCCCCTTCCACGCTCCCATTAACAAGCCAAACCAAACCAAACGCCCTGTGGCCATATAAAGAAGTATCTTCACAGTGAGGGAAGTCTGGCTGTTAAGAATATGTAAGATCAGAAGTTCTATGCAGACATTTTTGCTGAGAAAGTCACAGCTTGCTGCCACTTCTGCTGTTGGAAACTCTCAGAAGCCATTCTAGACAATTATTTCCTTCCTGAATGTGGAAACTTGAAACTGTGAAAATACTGGCCACTACAAGGAAAATAAAAGGGCAGAAGAAATGTAACAATAGAAACACAGAATCATAGAATAGTTAGGGTTGGAAAGGACCGTAAGATCATCTAGTTCCAGCCCCTCTGCCATGGGAAGGGACACCTCACACTGAACAATATGACCCAAGGCTCTGTCCAAGCTGGCCTTGAACAACACCAGCAGGAATGGAGCATTCACAGCTTCCTTGGCCAGCCTATTCCAGTGCCTCACCACCTTACAATAAAGAACTTCCTCCTTATATCCAATCTAAACTTCCCCTGTTTAAGTTTTAACCCATTACCATTGTCCTATCACTGCAGTCCGTAATGAAGAGTCCCTCCCCGGCTTCTTGTACTTCCAGAAAGTTGCCAAGTGTTTCTGTTACCGTTGAGGGAGGGTTAGGTGAACCAGTTTCTACAACTTATTTTTCATGGGTTACTGCTTTCCTAAAAGGCATGCGGTCTTTTCAAATCAAAACTGCTGATATTCCAGCAATATCTTATTTATTGCGTTTTCTCTTTGGAGATTTCACTGGACTTCCTTCATATGAAGAAACAAGCTGCATAGGTAAAGGTTGCAAGCCTTGACAAGGGAGTACATGTTTTAAGGCAAACTTCTTCGGTTTTGATCAAAATGACAGTGCTTATGTCTTCGACATCTCTGTTAGTAAAGCAGATCAGAACTTGTTTTCCAGCTAGATAATGAGCTTCTCTTCACTGTGCTATGTCAGACTAAGGTAGACGCTAAAAAAGAATTTGTAGTAATGGTGAGCACGCTACTTAGTGTTGTTTAGCAAGATTATGAAAGAAAATCAGCCTTGTTTGTTTGGGATTTTGGCTTTTCTGTAATTTGCCATTAAGAAGGAGGAGGTGCTATGCTATGCTTTTGTCAATGCTATAGTAAAGTAGGCAAATCAGTAAATTTCTATACTCTTGCCTTTTAGCCAATTATTGCAGGAGCTCTAAAACCTGTTTTTTTATTAAGGAGTAATAGTTAAAAATACAAACATAGAATTATTGAATGTGACTTAATTTTTTTTTTCTTTTTATCTTGCAGCAACGCACCTCTTGCTTTTTCCTCCAAAGTATGTTATATTAAGTTTCGTGAAGCATCGAGTGTTGGTGTGGCCCAGCATCTAACTAACACGGTTTTTATTGACAGAGCTTTGATAGTTGTGCCCTGCGCAGAAGGTTGGTATTTTAGACGTTTTCTGAAATGTTGTTCTTTGTCAAGTCTGCTAGTTGTTTTACGCTTTCCATGTAAGGAGGTGGTGCTCTATTGGTGTTTTATTTCATTGCTTTTTAAAAAAAAGTCTTGAAGAAGAATTTAAAATGGAACAGAGGTATGGAATTATATAGATTCAATTGCAATTTGGTATTAAAAAAGGTAATTAAGTTAGGATAATTCAATTTATTGCATATTTTGAGGGAAAAGAAGATAAATAATTTGCTTCAATATGGTTTGTGTTGGCAAGCTTATTCTCACACAGAGTTCTCACTGAAGTCAATGGAGCACTGAGAAGATTAGGCAATTTCCTGGCACCAGTAAATTGCAGTTTGGATTTTAATGTATCGCCTTTGATGTGGTGTTTTGTTGTTTGGTTTTTTTTGGGGGGGGTGGGTTTTTTTGTGTGTTTTTGTTTGTTTGTTTTGTTGTGGGTTTTTTTTTTGGTGGTGTGGGGTTTTTTTTTCTGTTTTTTTTATTTGCTTGTTTCTGAGATCCTAATTACTTTTCACTTTTTTTAGACTGAATACTGATTTTGTTTTGTAGACATGTAATATAAGCATTTAGCCATTTTAGATTGCTCTAATTAAAATACTTAGTATTCATATTGACACTTACTGTTTGAATATAAATGTTTACCTGCTCTTTCAATTAAAAAAGAATTTGATTTTCCTATCTTGTTATTGTGGAAAATATTACTTTGTGAGCCACAAAAAGGTTTTCTTGCGTATGCTGGTACTCCTTTTTTAGTTCTAGCGCTCTCTTAAAAAATGCAGTCATCTGTACAGAATGCTTCTACTGTGAAATGTTTTTAAAACTCTTAATAAAATAAAATGCTTGGTGAATACTAGATTTACGGTGTTCCTTTAACTAGCTTTGAGGTCATATCTTTACAGGTATGTTGAGTACAAGGTAATTTGTATTGTTTATATAATGTCCCAGATCAGATATGAAGCATGGTCCTATGGGAGGCATGTTGCTGGAGTTAGGCAGGGCACCATTGACTTCATTGGGATCATTGTGGAACTGAGCACCCTCTGTTTGGTTCTGGACTTTTTGACTCTTCAGAGTAGAAACATTCCAGCTGGTGGAGTGAACCTAACTTCACTTTGAACATGGTAGCTGTTTTGCCATGAACAGCAATATTAAGAATGATTGAACCATAAACCATTTCTGGACCATGGAAGTCCAGAAATACCTCCTATGAACATAACTTTTCTAACTGAAGGAGTCGGGGGTTGGTTCAATAAATACTGTTGACTTCTTGGAGTTTGTTAACAGTGGTCCCAGAGTACCATTTTCTGGCATGCTTGCCACGTCGTCTGGATAGTATGAGATACGGTGTTGCTGTTGTAATGGTCTGGGATGTTCCTAGCAAACTCTGATAAGTTTACAAGTAGTCTGTCTTAAGTACTTTCAGTAAAGGTTATATTAGCCTGCAATATACCGTCTGTTCTGGTAGTCTTCTTAATAGGGGCATATAGCATGTATATTTGTCTTTGTGAAGCTTAGATTATTTAGTTGCTTTCATATTTTATTTTCGGGGGCTTTTTGGTTTTGTTTTTTGAATTTGTTCTTAAACCACAAAGAGGATATTGCTGTATCCACTTGAAGCTCTGTAGAGGCTAATGGGGAACTAGAGTCATTATTACTAAAAAATTTTCCCTAAATAATAGACTACAAATTATTCAGAATCTTAGGTTTACATTTCATCGAAAAGACCTTAATTAACAGTGATTCAGTACTGCCAGAGAGGGATGATTGCCACATAATGAATGAACAACACTTCCTGGTGGTTTTCTTGTGATAAGATCACTGCCTGACATGATATGGCAGCAGGCAGGTAAAGCTATGTTTTCCTGTGTCTCTTGATAGTCGACAATGAATGGAAAGAGAATAAAATCAATGTTCTGGCTAATCTTGTTCCAGCCCCATTTTTAGCTGACTTATTAGACATTCCTGAGAAAATGTGTTATAGAATAATTGACACTGTTCAAAATGATTGTCGACCCCACAGAGATGTATGCATAATTAGGTGAACAAGTGATTGAGAGGTCAATTTTTTTTTTTTAATATCAAAATGGTGTTTCCATGTAACTTTATAACAGAATCACTAATTTTAAAGGTATGAATTTATATAGGTATAACTTTCTGAGGAATATACTGTGAGGAGTAAGTATGGCTTTGGAGAGCACAAAGTAAGATTTTCGATTCACTATGTATCATGTGATGAGTAATAGCCAGTGGAGTGCATCATGGGCTTTGAAAGTAGTGATTGTATTCTGCCAGGTGTTAAAATTATATCCTTGGCCAACGGTGCCAGTAATAAAACATTTAATGTGCCATATTGAGCATAGGGAAGAGGTAAAAGGGAACTCTGAAAACCTGGTTTTAAAACTCAGAATAAAATCTGAAATTTGAAGTGTATTTAAACGGTGAATCGAGGGAGCATTAGGAGGTAATCACTGTACAATGAAAACAATGTTAATTTTGTGATACTTAATAAACAATTTTGCAAAAATGCAGTTGTAAATGAAGTAACATTATTAAGCTGTCAAAATACGACTTATGTATGTGTGAATGGGTAGACTTTTCTTTAAACATTATTCTTTGAGAGCACAAAGGTTGAAAGATAAACAAAGATACCACCCTAATCATTCTAAATTTTATGTCCACATTATCTGGTAGATGGATTTTGACTATTAATTTGGTTTTGTATGTTTTCTCTGTGTGATATTTGTGCATTATTAGATGACTAGACTGGCCAAGGCAGACCTGTTACACTTGCCTGAGTTAGGCATTGTTTGCCATGCCACTAAACCTGCCGCCAAGTGAAATCTTCATGGGGGAAATGAGATCGAAGTCTGGCCTGCTGAAGATGGACGCCCTGTCTCTGTTTTTATTTTATTTTGATTTCTTTCCTTTGTTTCTTTTTATTTTGATTTTGTCCCTTTTTTTTTTCTTCTTTTGTTTTGTTTTGTTCTGTTCTGTTAAATCTCTTTCCCTTGTACTTGTGAACTGGTACTTCAGTTCTGTAAAAATGGTGTTTTGTAAAGGGTTCACAGTGTTTCATTTTGAAGTTGACCTGAAGCTGCTTATGAATGGTGGATGGTATACACAGAATTTAGAGCATGATTTATGTTGTGAATTACAGGTAAATTTGATTTTGAATACATTTAAGCATCTAAATTCAACAGATAAACACATTGTGTCAGGATCCAGGAACAGTGAAAAATAAATCCGTTTTAAAATTCACTCTCATATGTTCTACTTCATGAGTTTATCTTGGAATGGTTAAAACTCATACTTCTGGAGAAATTAACTTTACGAAGTAGAGTCATGATCTTCCTCTGCTGTTTTTCCCCTTAGCAGAGTAGTTTTAGGTTGCACAGTTTGTTTAGAAGAAGGCTTACTATTTGTGACTAATATGAACAGTTTAATTAGTTCTGAAATTGAACTTTCATGAATACTGAATGCAATGAAATACTTGTTTGCTTCTGATGAAACCTTGCTCCAGTGAGGTCAGTGGCAGTAAGATTTCATCCTTTTGTTTTTGTAATTTTCAGAAAAAAACTGTTTACCACTCATAAGTACAAATGCAGCCTGAAGTTTTGGTTGGAATGTGTTATGTGAGGCACATTGTCTTTCAACACTGTTATTTGTGGGAAGATTGAATCAGTTCTCTGTGTGTGTATGTATGTGTATATTGCACTTTAACATGCTACAGTGGTGGTGATTTCAAGAAGAGGTTTTTTTTTTTTTAAAGAAAGAAAGATAGCAAAAGTGTCTTCTTGGTCATCTCACAAACCCTGGCAGTTCATGCTGGAGTGATTGAGAAAGTTCTTGTCTGTAAATGATGTTCTTGTAAAATGGAAGTGGCGGACCAGGTGGTGTGTCTAGTCCTCAGGCATGGCTCTTCCCAGCCTGCTGCATAGGAGTTGGTTGGTTTCACTCTGATAATGCAGCAGGCTGTGCAGTGCAGCTGGAAAGAGCTTTGTTTAGTGATCTCTGTTGGATTTAGCTGTGGCAGTTGAGATAATTGCCAGTAGGTGTAATCTCTTTAATCACTGCTGCTAAATCCGATAAGGGTCATGAAGTGGATCACACAGAAATTACTTGTAAGTCTGCATTTTTCATTGATTAAAAATAGGAGGAAAATATCAATTTCTTTAATTACATTTAGAGTAGATTTGAACTGTAAGTATTTTTAAAACAAACTTATTTTAGAAGCAGTTTGGGGAGGGAGGGCAAAACTAGCCATGTAGTTTCAGTACAAAGAGTAGGAAATTAATTTCCTCTGAGCACTTGGAAGGGAATAAAAATACTATGAATAGTACTTGCTTAACACAGATACTTCAGTATTTAGCAAAATGGATTGCAGTATGGGCAAGGATGACTAGGGCTCTTGAGCACTTTGATACAGAAAAGTAACAATCATAACTAATATTTAGGACAGCTGTACATTTCCTAGGAAGCGTAAGGTGTCTCTAGGCAATGCAGAGCTAATTTGTATCTGCTTCCAGATTTCTATGCAAATGAAGAATCAATAAATAAATTACCATATAAACCGTATTTCCTAAACACGAGAACTTCCAGGAAACCTTTTTAAGGATGTATAGATGTGGCACATTTATTTTTTCTGTTTCCCTTATTAGAAAATAAATATCTTTACCTCATTTTCATTCAGCTTTTAAATACTTTGAGTTTAAAAACAAAACAGTTATTCTTAAACTAAAATGACCCAATTTGCTGTGTCATAACCCACATTTTGTTGTATCTTTGTGGACTTGTATTCCTTTATTATAAGTAAGTTCATGGAGATAAAACTCCAGAGTTTAAACCCTATAACAAGTGAGGTTATTTGGCCTCACATACTAACTTGTGGGTTTGTTTTATTGGTTGTTTTTTTAACTGTGTAGAGAACAGGGAAGTATATTTGCAAGATACTTCAGGTTTTCTTCCCCCCTCTGCCCCCCCCCCCCCGAGTTTAATTTCTACAGAATTTTTTAACAGTTTGACATGGTTTTAACATGTAGAGAAGGATCTTTTGAGAAGGCAATATCTTTGAATATTCAGGCAAATTTTCAGGGTTCTGTCTGTAAATACAGATGCTTTATCATTCTTGAATTAATAAACAAATCCTTAATTTGTGGCATGGAACTGACCACCTAGATTTTGGTACATTATGAAAGGCTGAAGTATTCTGGAAATAATGCTGCTAACTTTACAACTTAGATATGCATGCTGTAATGGTGCACTTAACCAAAAGTGATTACTTGAGCAACATGAGTAATGCCAATTACCTCTGTAAGATGAACAATATACTTAAAGCTTAGGCTTGTATTTAAGTAGCTGTCTGAACTTGGCTCACTGTCTGTTATGTGCCTAACTCAGTTCCTACTTAAAAGGGCTAAATGCCTAAACATCTCTTAAATTTATCTGATTAAGTATATATTGAATTGGCTGTAGGTAAGCACATACTTAAATTAGGCATATACTTATGTACATTACTGGACAAGGATCTAAATTAGAATGCAGACACACCACTTCAGGAGCCATTTCCACCATTGGATTTACTTGATCCATGTCTGTTGATCCTGTAGAAACCTGCATGAGTATCCAGTGAATTGCAAGATGCTAGTTGTTCAGGATAAGGTCTGGTTCATTTATCATTTGAAAGCGTTTAAATACTAAGATTTTCAGAAGAACTAGTATGTAATTCTATGCCTAATTTGCATGCACAGCTGCTGGAACTATATTCAAAAGCCTGTTAGTGAGCTACATAATAGGCAGGATGTACAGCAAAGTACCTAATACTCATGAGCAGTCAGGCAGATCATGTACACCTCTTGTTGCATGTCTAACTTCAAAATGAGATCTATAAAGAGTGCTGAACATTGTGATGATGACTCAGATTCATGCATGGGTTTTGGTTTTTGGGGTTTTTTGTTTGTTTTTTTTAAGCCCTGGAAATCGTTCTTGCACAGTTAATAATTAAGTGCTAATAATTTTCCTGTTTTTCTCCTTTTGATAGCAAAATCAAGTGGTTTGTTACATGTTAAGGAACAAGGTGCCTCAAAATTTAACATAAATGTAAATAGGAAGCATGAGAAAAAATGGGTACTGTTGTTTTTAATTTTCTATTCCACCCATGCTACATACACATTAAGTTTCATTTAGATTTGTTTTGTCTTTTGGTGACACTCAACTGTAACCCAGTCCTTGTTGCAGCTCTGTAGAACAGGTTTCCTTATTTTCATTTTTTTTAAAGTAGATGTTTTCTGTGGGGTCTATGGGAGCTTGTATGGCTAAAGCAGCATAGTATTTTGAAACTTGCCTTGTATTTTGCTTTCTGATAAGAATATTTATGTACTAATTTTTAAACCCTGAAGGTGGGGGTTTTACAGTTTAAATATACAGTTTGAACCAAAGCAGTAAAAGCCACTGGTGCAGTGTTTGTATATACCTTGGCTTTTAAAACAGTGTTTAAATAAAAGCATTGACTTTAATAAAGTACATACCGAAGGGCTTAGTTGGATAGCATATGTACAATTATGCCAGTAATTTTGAATAGATCATAGGTATCTAGTATAATCAGGACTTTCCTGTAGTTTTTAGTGTTTGATGTTTGTGCCAGTTTAAATCCCTTTGCATTTCAAATTTAATATGTACATATAATTGTAGTTGTAATTGTTTAACTATTAAATCTTGATTTTTGAAGATTTGGGGTCATTTAGCAGTCTGATTGTGTCCAGTGTTGAATGAAACTTCTGTTTAATTCAGATTAGCTGTTACGTAAACTTCTAGCATGACAGGGGCAGTATAACCTGGATGAAATAGTGGAAAATTGGTATTTTGGGAAAATACAGCTTGCTTACCTGATCAGTTGCAATTTTTTTCAATCTTAATAAATTTAAATCTTATTTATCAGAGGTTTGGGTAAACTGAGGTGAACTAGAATGTGAGACAGTATCAGCTGAGTTTTTTTCTGCCCTTCCCTCTTCCACCTCCAACTTCACATGTAATACATGTTGAGTGGAGTCACAGTAGTTTAGTAGTATTTTTTTATTGTTATTTTATTTTTACATCCAAAGTAGGTATCACCAGAGGAATTAAAAAATAAAAATCTCAGACAACAAAAACAAACACAAACACAAATTTCAGTTAGCACATACTTTGTTTTTTCTTTTTCTTTTTGTTTTACTGGTTTGGTTATTTGCCATTTCTGGGGATTAAACTTTAAAAAATGTTCTTCTTTTCTGTATCTGATGTTCTGTGTGCTATTAGTGATGCAGCCAACACGAACGGTTGTCATGTGTAAAACAACTTTCGATCACCGCGAAAACACCGCCCTGGGAAAGCGTCCATGCTTGATATCGTTTGGTTCATGAACATTAAGTTTCCAGTACAGGTGACCCATAGCTCAAAGTGTTAACTAATTGTATACATTATTCAGTTTTAAAAATAATCATTAATGAGATTGCTAGTCTTTGAAGTTTTGCTCACTTTTGTTTTTCCTAGTAGAGGCAGGGTAAAAGGAAAAACTTAAGTTCTTATTTGTTTCTTTGTAAGGATCTGGTAGATAGATTCATTGTTATTTATTACGTTTTTAAATACAAGGTTAGTTGTAAAATCATAGAAAGAGTAACATCTGTGTAGTGTTCAAACTCTGTGTAATGCTTTCATTTGCTTCTTCAGGTAAAATCCCAGACGAAGCCAAAGCCCTTTCCCTGTTGGCGCCTGCTCCTACTATGACAAGTCTGATGCCTGGTGCAGGGTTGCTTCCTATACCTACACCAACTCCTTTGACTACAGTAAGCAAAATTCAGCTGCTGTTTGATTTCTGGTTTCCTCTGTGCTCGGTAGCCTTTTCTGTATTCAGAGAACAAGAACTATCTGATCGATGGATCCCTTTTTGTGTCGTTTTTAAATTTTTGTCTTTCCCTAGACCCATTAATTTGGTTCAGTGGCAGTGCTGTCCACTTCCTAAAAATTTGTTAAAGTGTAGTTACATTGACACGGTTCTTTGGAGTATTAAAATGCTGCATTAGGAGCTTTAATTGTTATCTGTACAACAGGGCTTTTGACTCTTTTGCCTCACCATGTTTTCAATACAAAAAGCATAGGAGCTACCTGGTGCTACTTCTGCTTAGTTCCGTTTTGCCTCTGTCTTTCTTGACGTCAGCAGGCTTCTGTGGCCTATTCAGGGAAAAAAACAAGTTAAAATAGAGTAGTTTTCTCTTTCATTGCATTAAAAAAAAGATAAAATTGGTGCCTAGTTGAGAATTTCTCATTTTTATTAGAAAATTTGTTTGCTGGAAAGGCAGTTGCTTTTTGAGTGGAGAAAATAAAATTCAAACCAGGAGCTCGCAGACCAGCTTAGTAGTGGTTTTTAAGTGAAAGGGAGCTGTATTGCCCTTGTTCTCTAGGAAGTGACTGTGTTTGTAGGAAAGGAATTTAGGCTTAATATCCTTCAGATTTCAACTGTAATTTATTTTGCCTTTCATGATGTGTTGGTTGAAAAGGTACCTTATCTGTTCCTTCGATGGACTGATACCTATTCCTGAACAAATTGGTGCTGGGCACTGCAAATCGCCTATTTCCTATGCTGAACAAGGGCTCAGCAGTTCCTCATCTACTTTTACACTTGTTGAGGGGGAAAAAAAAAAAAGTGAAAAAAAAAATGAGCAGTGTCTGGAGGTGTCTCAATCAAATTGATTGACAGTTAGAAATTCAAGCCCGTTTGTTTTCTTACTGATGCAGTGCATTGCTAACCAGACCTCTTTAATAAGATGTTAACTAATAGTGCACAGAAAATTGTAACTATAGGAAACAATTTATGCATTTATTTTTACTCTTTAAAAAAAGTTCTCAGCTGGGACCTTAAAGTATTGCCTGTATTCATTAGATTTATTTTTACAGAAATTCACAAGACAAGCAAGTGTTAAAAGCAAGTGTTAATAAGTGAAGTATCTTCCACCAGTGCCTGGTTGCAAAGCATATTCAATTTTTGTGTTTTCCAGCTTGGTGTTTCACTTGGCACTTTGGGGGCTATACCAGCAGCAGCATTGGACCCTAACATTACGGCTCTGGGAGAAATACCACAGCCACCAATTATGGGGAATGTGGATCCATCCAAAATTGATGAAATCAGGAGAACAGTCTATGTTGGAAACTTGAATTCACAGGTAGCTGTTTTTTGTGTAATGGAAATACTAATGGAAAGTGTAGAATTGCAATTTATGAATTCTAATCTTATGTGTTAAAAAGTTTTTGTTGGTAACAGTAGGAATTAAAAGATAGTAATTTTTTTGGTTACTAGTGGTATTTTGAATTTTGAATGCTCCTGTGCCAATCAGATTAGATCAAACTGTGGAGCATTCTGGCAGGACATGAAAGAAATCACTCTGTAGCTGAATTGCAAAAGCATACTTACAATTCTGTGTGTTGATCAAATGTACAGCTGGGTTGTGTTAGCTGAGCAGTGCCTCTGAAATCGTGAGATCAACACTGTGCAATGGCTCAACTATAGCAAGATGGAATGGTGTGTCCAAGTGGAAGTTGATAAATTAGCATAAATACCTTTTGAGTTTCTATAACACGAAAGTTAGGTCTGTCAGAAATTTGGGGGTTGGTTTGGGCTTTTTTTTTTAGCAGTTGATTGAATTAATTGAAAAACAATTGGCTTTTGACTGATGACAGAGTAAGTATTTTATTTGGAGTTCTTTTTGACTGCTAAATTAGGTACTGGAGTGTGAAAGTACTGTTGATTGCAATAAAATAAAACAAGCTGGAAGCTAGTAGGAAAGCATATAAAAGCTAAGTCTTGTGATATTGTTTGGACTTTTTTTTTAATTGATCAAAATTCACAATCAGTATCTTGGACACAAGTGTGTAAGAAACTTCCTTATCAGTTATTTCAGATCATTTGCCTGAAAAGCACACAACCCTATGCAAATGCTTTTTAAACCTAGATGTAAGACTTCAGAGCTAGTGGTTGCACTATTTTGAATTGTAGTATATTCTTTAGATTAATGGAAGAAAAATACCAAATTCATGTTACCTGCGTAGTGATAGTGAGATATCTTTCCGAAATCTGTAGCTCTTAGATGGCCTGATATACTGGATAAGTGGTTTTCATTGTATATTTCACTTCAGCTGAGCTCTTTTGACTCTTTCTAGACTACAACAGCAGATCAGCTGCTTGAATTCTTTAAGCAAGTTGGAGAAGTCAAATTTGTGCGAATGGCAGGTGATGAGACGCAACCAACAAGATTTGCTTTTGTGGAGTTTGCAGACCAAAATTCTGTACCTCGAGCTCTTGCCTTTAACGGAGTTATGTTTGGAGACAGGCCACTGAAGTAAGAAATTAATCATCCGTATGACTGTTGAATGAGAGATTTCTTTCTTTGCTTCTACATTTATGACTTTGATGTACAGGAAACTGCTGTGATGAATATTTTTTTCAATATAAGGACCTATTAGCAAAATGGAACATTTTTATAAACTCCAAGTTCAAAGTTTTTCTCAGAAGAATATGAATGGCATAATTCTTTAGTACTAATTAAGATTTCTATATGATGTGTATGTAATTAGTAGGCCTTAACATAGAGATTTGATCTGAATTAAAGAAATAGATTCCTAGACTTCTAGTAGAAAATACTTTAACACAGAAATATTGTTCTGCATTTATTTAAACATGTTAAGATTTGAAAGCAATAAAAGACATTTCTGATTCTTAGAACAGACAAGCTTGAGGACACATCTGTAGCTTTGGTGAACTTTGAAGTTTTTAATTGTACTTGGAAGTTGAGGTGTTTTCTTAGTTGTTTTTTCATTTTCAAGTGTTTGAGATTTAAAGCTTTTACTTTTCCTAATTTAGAATAAATCACTCCAATAATGCAATAGTGAAGCCTCCTGAAATGACACCACAAGCTGCTGCCAAGGAACTGGAAGAAGTGATGAAGAGAGTCAGGGAAGCCCAGTCTTTCATATCTGCTGCTATTGAGCCAGGTAGGTATATTATGCTCCTTACCTAGCAGACACGTTTTGTGTGTACCTTGGCAAGTGCTTTTAAGAGCATTTTCAAACATGGGAAAAAAGGTACTTGAAGGTGAACAATTAAGTGTTGGCAAAAATTAAAAACAATCAAAATTGTGTTAGTGCAACAAAGCAGTGGAATGAAGCTATTTCATTGTGTCTTATTTTCAGATACATGCTCACTGAATGTTTTATAAAAATGCAAAGTTAATTCTAAATTAATAAGTAATGTTGTTTCTTCTTAAGTTCAAAGTTCTTACAAACTTGAAAATATTTTACATTTTGTTTTGTACTCCTCTAACATCCTTTAAGAACATAGCTTCATGGTCAGAGGAAGCTAGCAGGGCTCTGAAAGCAGTGACATTGTGCTTTCCTTGTCTGCAGCAAGTTAATTTTGTCCCCATGCTATGCTCTTTCAGGCTGGCTAAAGACTTTGCATCCTCATAGCAAATAACATCAGAGTAGGAATCTGGGATAGAACTTAACGTATTGTAAAGGACATTTTTCATTCAGATTGGTTTCTTAATCCGTGTTAATACTGAGATGCCAGGTCAGGAGGAAGGCATTGGTGGGTTGAGAGGTTAGACATTTTGTTGCTGATTTATGCTGATGTAAACTGATTGCAAAACCACAGCATAAAAAAAAATCTCAATTGTTAAACTTGCAGTTGAAATCCTCCTTTTTCATTAACGATATTTTGCCATTCTTCTTGCCAACAAACCCAGACATTGTCTTAACGTAAGTTAAATACTCTGGAGTCTTGAGGTATATTTTTTAGGGGGGGGTATGGTTGAGTATTAGGGTGTTTTTTTAGGGTTGGAAGAAAAGTGACTCTAATGTTTAATCAGTGTTAAGCAGACGAATAACAATCTTTTAGGAGTATGAGCCAAAATCTGGGGAGGTTACAGTAAAGGTTTCTATTGACTTCCTGTCTTTTGGATCACACATTTCACTCTGTTCTTTCCATTTCTTCGAAACAGTGTCTGAGGAATAAAACTTCAATATTTATTGTACAGTGGTTGAAAGATCCAAAAAAAAAGTACAGGAAGTGCTAATTACTATTTGCATTTTATGCTTGTTTTCAAAATTGTGTCCTCTAAATTCTTCTCAGGTTATTTTTAAAAACGTGTTGTGATCTTGTGCATTGTGGCAGCAACATAAATCCCATTCCTATAGAACTAGCTGTTTATAATTATCTGGTTTATGTGTACTGCTGCAGGATGGCTGCACTCAACGAGTATATGCAATGACTTTCTTGGATGTTTCTGAAGGATATTTGCAAAGAAGGAAGATGTGCAAAGAGTAGGCCCCTTGCACTATATGTGGTACATTCCACTTGTGCCAGATTGTTAACTGGGATCTTTAAATGTTCTGAGCTTACACTGCAAAGTGGTTTTTTCCTCTCAGAGTCTGGAAAGAGCAGTGAAAGAAAAGGCGGCCGATCTCGTTCCCATTCTCGTTCAGAATCCAGGTCTAGCTCAAAATCCCGATCTAGGAGGAAAAGATCACACTCAAAACACAGGTAGGTGTGGGTTTTATTTTGTACTTAAGAGATTTGAAAAATCATGGCAGTTGGGTGAAGTTCCCAATGACCAGAAAAAGGGAAATATAACCCCCATTTTCAAGAAGGGGAAAATGGATGACCCGGGCAATTACAGACCAGTCAGTCTCACCTCTGTGCCTGGCAAAATCTTGGAGCAGATTCTCCTGGAAGGCATGCTAAGGCAAATGACAATCAACAAGGTGCTTGGTGACAGCCAGCATGGCTTCACTAAGGGGAAATCCTGCCTGACCAATTTGGTGGCCTTTTATGATGGGGCTGTGGAATTGATGGACAGGGGTAGAGCAATTGATGTCGTATACCTGGACTTGTGCGAAGTGTCCAACGCTGTCCTGCACGACATCCTTGTCTCTAACTTAGAGAGACATCAGTTTGATAGATGGACCACTCGGTGGATAAAGAACTGGCTGGCTGGCCGCACGCAAAGAGTTGTGGTCAATGGCTCAATGTTCGGCTGGAGACCAGTTACGAGTTGTGTCCCTCAGGGATTGATGTTGGGACCGGTGTTGTTTAACATCTTCGTCGCTAACATGGACAGTGGGATTGAGTTTGCCCTCAGCAAATTTGCTGATGACACCAAGCTGTGTGGTTCAGTTGATATGCTGGAGGGAAGGAATGCCATCCAGAGGGACCTTGACATGCTTGTGAGATGGGCTGATGCAAACCTCATGAAGTTTAACCATGCCAAGTGCAAGGTCCTACACCTGGGTCAGAGCAATCCCAGGCACAGCTACAGGCTGAGCAGAGAAGAGATTCAGAGCAGCCCTGCGGAGAAGGACTTGGGGGTGTTGGTTCATGAGAAACTTAACATGAGCCGGCTGCAGCGTGCACTTGCAACCCAGAAAGCCAACCATATCCTGGGCTGCATCAAGAGGAGCGTGACCAGCAGGTCGAAGGAGGTGATCCTGCCCCTCTACTCTGCTCTTGTGAGACCTCACTTGGAGTATTGTGTGCAGTTCTGGTGTCCTCAGCATAAAAAGGACATGGATCTGTTGGAACAAGTGCAGAGGAGGGCCCCGAGAATGATCAGGGGACTGGAGTACCTCCCGTATGAAGATAGGCTGAGAAAGTTGGGGCTGTTCATCCTGGAGAAGAGAAGGCTGCATGGAGACCTCATAGCAGCCTTCCAGTATCTGAAGGGGGGCTATAGGGATGATGGGGAGGGACTCTTCATTAGGGACTGTAGTGAACAGGACAAGGGGTAATGGGTTAAAACTTAAACAGGGGAAGTTTAGATTGGATATAAGGAGGAAGTTCTTTACTGTGCGAGTGGTGAGGCACTGGAATGGGTTGCTCAAAGAAGTTGTGAACGCTTCATCCCTGGTGGTGCTCAAGGCCAGGTTAGACGAAACCTTGGGTGCAGTGGTTTAGTGTGAGGTGTCCCTGCCCATGGTAGAGGGGTTGTGATTCTATACTGAAGGTTTCTGAGGTGGTGATAGTTACTGATATTTTTTACTGGGTTATAAGAGAAGTACCCTTGCAGAAATTACTTACACTGAGCAGATTAGAGTAACCTGTAACTTTGTCTAAATGTTTTCTAAATGTTTTCAGGATTACTTTCAGTTAAAACATACTAGAAGGCATTTTCTGTGACATGTCTCATAACAACTTCTATGGTTTCGTGGTACATTTTCTGACAGGTAGCATATTACCATCTTGTGACCTGTATTTTAAAAGAAAATAGTAAAATTATTTTGCATATTGTACATTTGTTTTACTGTTAATACCCTGTCATGGTTTAAGCCCAGCTGGTAACTCAGAACCACACACTCACTCGCTCACTCCCCCCTCTTTCTCCACCCACTCATGCAGGGATGGGGAGGAGAATTGAAAAAATATAACTCCCACAGGTTGAGGTAAGAACAGTTCGGTACCTAAGGTATAACACAAACCCACTACTGCTACCAGCCATAATAATAATAAGGGAAGAGCAAGGGAAGAGCATACAACCACTCACCACCCGCCAACCAGTATCCAGCCCAACCTGAGCAGCAGTCTAGCCCTTCCAGGTAATTCCCCCCAGTTTATATACTGGGCATGACGTGCTGTGATGTGGAATACCCCTTTGTCTAGTTTGGGTCAGGTGTCCTGTCTCTGCGTCCTCCCGGCTTCTTCTCCTCCCTGGTAGAGCATGAGACTCAGAAAATCCTTGGTCAGAGTAAACATCACTTAGCAACAACTAAAACTGTCGGGTTTTATCAGTGTTGTTCCCAGGCTGAAAGTCAAAAACACACCCACTGCACCAGCTACAGCCTGAGCAGATAGGTGGCTAATTTTTCTAGTAGAAAGTCCCCGATGTCCTGAATGTCTAAATACTGATATAGTGAATGCAGTATTTTTATTTACTGTACTGTAACATAAAACTGTGGCTTTTTAAAGCAAGAAAAAGGCTTTACAGGTAGCTTTTCATTCTTCAGTTTTGGTTGCTTTGCTAAATTTGTTCAGTTCCAAACAGGCTTTGGAATGTGAGAGGAAATAAAATTCCTAGGTTATCATTAAGACTTGGTTTGGGTTTTTTTTAAATAATTTACCACTGTTACAGTGTGTTTTGAAAATACACTGAAAAAAGTACAGTCTGATACATTGAGGCTACTTAGTCACTAAGAGTAAACTATCCTCACCACAGATCTACTGTTTTATAAAACACTTTTAATCCCTGTGATATAAAATTGATTCACGGTCTTATTTTGGCTCAATCATAATTAATTTGCCATGTTGTTAGTTTGTGCTGATAAGGGAAGCAAAGCCATAGGTAAAAAAATGGGTGCTTCTCCTCGTGGGTTATATGTCTCTGTGTCTTGAGCTCCAGAAGACAGGTTGAACAGATACTTTTTTGTACCTTCATGTTCTTCAAGATTTATTGGCATTTCTGTCTTTGGTAGGTTAAACTTCATAGCACCATAACCTCTCAGGCAAAGCGTCTAATGATGTGGGGTTTTGAAACTTTATGTTTAAATTCAACATTTTATTTTGCTTTCCTAGGGAGTATGATCTTCAAAGAATAGGGAATATTTTGGAAAAAGCAATACAGGACTTCAGAAGTCTTAATTTCTTCATCAAATTTGTGACTGCATATATCAGAAGACTTTTAACTGAATTTTTTGTCAGTATCTGCACCTTATTTGCCTTACGTATTTATCATATAGTAAATGCTCATTCCTTCAGAATTCTTATGATGGAAATCCATGCTAACAAATCTTTTCAACTAAAAAGATAACATGACTAAATGTCTGAATCACAGTGTTTGTTCTTGAGGTTTGGTTTGGGGTTTTTTTTGGTTAGTTTGGGGTTTTTTAAAGTTAATTTAAGTTGAAAGTCTGAAGACCAAGGCAAAAAGAAACTAGTTAAAGTCATCTTTCTTGGGTGACCAAGACTGCAGTAAGTTACTAGGCCTGGAAAAGAAACAAAAGCTAGCTAATTTTTTTTTTTTCAAGCTCCTAGAAATTGTCTAAAGTAGATTTTATGCACTGTAATCTACTAAGGACAGATACTCTAATACAATATGAATTAATATTTTCCAGAATGTTCATAGAGGTTATTAGGAAACATGGGTATTACTTAAATGGTGCACTTGTTTCCAAGGAGTGCTTTTGCAACTGGTGACTCATGAAGTATAAGCAAAAATATTGGTACACAGTATATTACTGAGGTGTAACTGTTTTATAATTTTATGTAGTGAGGCAAGATTTATGGGTTTTTTCCTTTGTTGATTGACCTAATTTTCATGAAGTTTCAATATTAAACTATTTTTCTTCTGGTGTTGTTAATGTAGAAGTAGATCTGGCAACAGATCAGTCTCAAGACACAAGGACAGACGCAGATCCAGAAGTCCTGTGAAAAAACGTTCTAGATCTAGGGAAAGGCGGAAATCAAGAAGTCGCTCTCGTTCTCGGTGAGTTCCATTCCTACGAAATGATACTATTGCTCTTAGTACACAGTACAGAGTACTTGAAAAAAATCTAGCAGACCTTTCAGGTGATGGTAAAGGGTGGAATCTCTAAATGCTTTAGCCTCTCTGTAGGCTTTATCTGTGGGACAATATAATAGTGAATTTTAATGCAGCGTGTACTGGTTTTGGCTGGGATAAAATTGATTTTCTTCATAGTAGCTCATAGTATGCCTGTGGATGTTAAACTACCATACTAAGTTACCTAATCTTTGATAATATAGTCTACAATTACTGTAATATACAAACTGACTGAAAACAGCTAGCTTTAATTGCCAGACTTTAACCAGTGGATTGAGAATTTTCAGTAGCATGTGCAGCCCACAAAAAAGTCTTTATCTGTTGAGAAGGTTGGATTCAGGATGAACTTGATACCACATTCTGAGAACATGTATACATTTTTTGTGCGCAAGCCTTTATTGTTGCCTTTGGCTATCTTATTAGCCATATGGTGCTGTCGACACAAAGTCATGTGTCTGTTACAGCATATTTGCATTTCAGGATCTAATATATCTGTATTTCACCTAGTCTGTTAATTTTGAAGTCTGGTAGGCTAATTATTGAACTGAGAAATTCCAACAAGATAACATAATTTTCTGAGAGATGAAGTAGTGAATATTCACAAAACAAATGTCCCTATGAAAGTAGCTTCATGAATAGAAGACTTGGTACTTTTCTTTCTGTTTCATCTCTGTAATTCCCCTGATTGATTTAAAGGGAGCTTCATGCTTAGGTTATGCAGTTGCCTCTTATTTATTGAGGGAAGAATTTTTGTGGAAAAGAGAACTGCAGATCTTTGGGCATTAGTGGAAACAGGAATAAGTTACCTAACTAGCTGGTCCTTATTGGTGTATCCTTTGATTCTCTGATGCTCTTTGGAGCTTTTTTTGTGATACCTGCTTACTGGAAGGGGAAAGTTCAGTAAAATCTCTGTGATATATTAAGGGAAAGGCACTCCTTAGCTAATTGTGAGACTCTGTTACTGCAGCAATTGTGTGCTGTTTCATCTTTTAGATCTTACATTCTTTTTCTGAGACTTCTAAAGAAGTATTTTCCAAAACTTGGTGGGAAGCAAAATTGTCAGGTCACAGAGCACACAACAGCCTAGTATTTTATTAGCAGTTTTGAAGAAGAGACAGCCAAGCACTTCTTTTGTTGAAGAAAGGTAGGAGCTCTGCTTAGGACCTTTTGTGTGTGGAGGAGTCTCTTTACTAAACTTTAAAAATCCTAGACTAGGTACGAGTACCAGTAGACACAGCAACTTCTGTCAGTCCAGTTCTCTTGGACATGCAAAGGCCTGCTAATCAACTTCTCTTCTTATGCTTTCTCTCTCTGAAAAATTGTTCATTTTCATCTGTCTGAGGGGTAGGTCTAGGAATCATGAATCTGTGCTAAAAAAAAAAAAAAGATGGAGTATTGCACTTCCAAATAATGCTATACAGAAATGCAGTCTTCCAGCCAAAGCTGTGAGCTAATCAGTTTTTGTTTGCCTGGATGACAAGAACATCAGTTGTAATTTTCCTCACTCTTCTTTTTATGAACATGTATCATACTGCCTGTCCCAAAGAAACTGACTTTTTCTGTTGTTCTTGCTTCTGGTTTTAGTATATTACTGTATTAATTTTTCAACAACTTCTGAATTCCTAGTGACATTACAGATGACTGAATTGTCTTGAGTTTTGACCTTAACATTTGCCTTTTGAGGGAATTCGTTTGGTGAAATTTTATTCCTGTTAGTTTATTTCTGTGTATTAACTGGTGTTGGATTTCCAAGCAGTTCCAGGATATCTGTGTGAGAGAACACTGTAGGATAAAGACTTAACGTCGATCAGCTGTCATTAATCATGTGGGGCTTGTTAATCTGCAGTCCATTTTGTGTGGACACACTTTTAGTAAAGAGTGGATTTACAGACTTTAGAGTTTGTCTCCTGACAAAATGCAGAAAGTTTATGTATGTATAACATAACTGTGAGGTGAAGAGACATGTTCTCTCCAGGTGTAGTAACATTGCTCTGAAGATCACAGTTCGATTTGATTTTGGCCTCCCCTTCTCCAATTTGGTGTCCAAATTTTTTTTAGCTATATAACATTTCCCTCATGCTGAACAGGGCTGGAAATGTCAAATACTGAATTATTTTCAGCAGAGACTCATACTTTATCTTGAGCAGTTAATGTACACTAAAGAGTTGTAATTTTAATTGGAAGTTTAAGGATGAATTAATGTATTTGTGTTTGGCTTTTTACAGGGACAAGAAAAGAGACAAAGAAAAGGTCAAGGAAAAAGAAAAAGTCAAAGAGAAAGAGAGGGACAGAGACAAGGAGAAAGACCGAGACAAAGATAGAGAACGCGATAAAGAGAGAAACAGGGAGAGAGATAAAGAGAGAAACAAAGATCGGGAGCGAGTCAAAGACAAGGATAAGGACAAGGATAAGGAGAAAGATAAGGAGAAGGAAAAAGACAGGGAAGAAGTAGACCAGGACAAGGAAAAGGAAGATACTGAGAAAGAAGGAGAGAAGGACAGAGAGAAGATTAAGGACAAGGAGGGAGATAAGGAAAAAGAGAGAGACAGAGAGAAAGAAAAAGATGGGGATAAGGAGAAAGAGCGAGAAAAAGAGAGAGATGATAAAAAGAAGAAAGAGAAGAGATCCAGAACACCCCCAAGAAGCTATAGTTCCTCAAGAAGATCTCGTAGCTCAAGCAGGTTTGTTTAGAATTTTTTTTCATGCCTTTCTTGACTTGTCAGTTCAATAAGGCACCATCCTAGTTTTCATATATTAGTATCACCATGTCTTTTACTAATTTAATTTGTATTATTTGTTTTGTAGATTTTCCTGTAAAGTAAAATCTATGGCAAAGAGCTCTGTATGATGCCTGATAGAGCATAGTTTCTTGTTGGGCTGCTGGTGCTTGCCTTTCACACAACCATTTAGTATTGTCCTTGAGGACAGTAAGTAGAATGATTCTTGTGCCGTTTCTCTGCATTGAAGCCCCCAAAAGTTCTGATAAAGCAAAATCACACATAGTCTTTGTCCTGATGAAAATCTGAGTCACTGTTATGTAGTTCCTTGGTTTCTTACATACTGTACAGTGTTGATCTGTACATCTTGTGAACAGTTAGGTATTTGTCACTCTTCAGCTGGATGGCTGAACCAGCAGGAAGCAAGCATATCACTTGTCTGGCTAGCCATTTGGAATATTGGCATCTCACTTGGAAGATAAGCATATGTTGTTTTGCTGGTAGATGGCCAGGTACAAGTGAAAAGTAACATTCCTTAATGATGCTGATAGCAAACATGAAAACAATGTAGCTGTTGTTTTTGCCTCTGAAGGAGGCTGAAATGGGTGGAAGTCTGGATAAATTCAGTACAGCAAAAGGAGGCTGTGAGTTTGATACTAAGCTCTGTAAGTGGATCAACTCATGCGTAATCTAGAGTGTTGTGGCTAACTTAAGTTCAGAAGCTTTGGTGGAAAAAGTACTTTCTGAATACCTCAGGTATTGGGAGTTCAATAATATCACACATCAAATTTAGATACATTTTATTTGTTAACTTGAGAGAATGAAATGCTGGATGAAAAGTTCTACATACTATAATCATCTTAATGGACAAAAGCAAAATTCCCACAGTCCTCAAAATTCAGGAGTGCATGGCTCATACAAAGCAGTCCATGTTGTTTTTTGAGATTGATGAGCAAAATACTGTGCTGCCTTTGAGCATTTGCAGCTTCCTGTTTTGATGTATTTTTAGCATTATTTCATGGGTTGAAGACGTGCAGAGAGTAGAGGTATTTCTGCCAGCTATGAAAACATAACATTTTCTGTCTGTACATCTCAGAAGTTTTCAGTTAGGTAAGTGTAGAAAAAAGATTTAAGATTTTGACAACATGTAGTGACAATACGTAGCTTATATAAGAAACTCGGTGGAAGACATACTTAATGTCAAACAGCAAGTGTATGTAGCTGGATGCTGCCAAAAATTCATACTCTAGTTTGCAACAATAATGCTCCATTTAAGAATCTTGCTATTTAGGAGAGCAAAGGGTTCTAGTGTAAACCAGTGCATCTCTTCTAGTGGAATCACAGTGCAAAACTCTACTTTGATAAGAAGGTTTTTTTTTGGTTTGGTTTTGGTTTTTTTTAATAAGAGATGTTACTAAGCAAGGACAATGTTCTTTTGAATACAGAGGATGAGAGAAACACTTTTTCTTTTACATGGATTTATTACTCTTTCTTTGGACATAGCATTATCCTTAGAGTATCAGTACTGGATCCAGTACTCTTGAACAGTGGACAGTGCACCCTCAGCAAGTTTTCAGGCAGTACAGAACTGGGGGGAGAGGTTGGTACGCCAGAGGAATGTGTGCCATTCAGAGAAACATTGACAGGAAAAATGGGCTGACGCATCTCAGAGCAAAGAAAAGTCCAAATCCTGCACCTGGGCAGGCAAACTGTCACACCAGTACAGAATGGGGACTGACTGAAAGGCTGGCTAGTGGAAAAGGTCCTGGGGTTCCTGACTAGGTCAGCAGTATCTTCCCCTGCATTAGGCAGAGTGCTGTGAGCAGGGCAAGGAAGGTTAATTCTTCCTCTCAGCACTAGTGAGGCCACATCTGAACCCAGGATCTGAACAGTTCTGGGATCCCCAGTACGAGACACACAGATGTACTAGAGTGAGTCCAGTGGAAGGCCACGAAACTGGTAAAGGACTTGGAACATCTGTCATAGAAGGAGAGGCTGTGGGAGCTGGGATTGTCTAGTCTGGAGAAGAGAAGGCTGAGAGGACATCTTGTCAGTGCATATGGGTACCTGCTGTGGGAGTGTGAAGAAGACAGCCAGTGAGGGCCAGTGACAGGCTAAGAGACAGTAGGCACATGCTGACATGGGAAGTCAAGGCTTTCTTCCAGTGCTTGAATTGTGTGGGGTTTTTTTTGTTTTTTGTTTTTTTTTTCTAGGCAAACTGGACCCAGTCATGGTGAGAGATTGTAGAAGTCTCTTTGGAGATAGTAAAAATCTGACTCAATGTGGCCCTGAGTAACCTGCTGTAGTTGACCCTCTTTAGGTTGGTGGCAGGGAGGTTTGACTAGCTGGTCTCCAGGGCACTCTTCCAACCTCAGTAATTCTGTTGTTCTCTGAGAAGTAATTGTGAATAGGTTGGATTACAGAGTCACAGTTTGCATTTGGGGATATCTGTTTACTTTGGTGATTGATATTGCCTAGTTGAAATAGTAGTTGAAGTAGCTTTTCAGCTGCCTAAATTTATCAGTGCAGCACCGAGATGGGATTGCTAATCCTTTACTGCATGAATGTAAAATACTGGACAAATAGTCACCTTTTTGGAGAAGAGGTGAAAGTAGACTTGGATTTCCAGGGCCTTCTGAGAGCTAGGTGGCAACTGACCTTGCTTTATTGACAGACAGCATGCAGGTACTAGAAACTAGATGGCCGTTTGTGATTCCTAGCTGAAGGAAGTGGCACAGACCAGAGGAAGAGGAAGAGCTGACTCCTTTTCTAACAAATAGTTACAAGGTAGCAGAGAAGATAGTTAGGACTGTTAGGTCTGTTTATGACTAAGAGGCACAGAATCACTGTTACAGTATTCAAACTTGTTTTTTCTTAAGTTTTGCTGTGTTAGTATTTCTTAACATTGTTAAACAGGTGCACACGCATCTTTGTATAGACAAATGTGACAGAGATGGGAACAAATACTGTAAGACAGTTAAAGCTCTTCAACTTGAAATATGAAAAGCAGAAACTGAAAATTAGATTTCATGAATAAATGATTTCTATCATGAACACAAATGCTAAGGCACTTAGTTACTCACAGATATGTATGCTTTAGTTTATTTATCCCCGCTTTATTTAGTAGGGATGTACTCATTGTAGCCCAAGGGGGGAGCACTGTCAATGTAACGCATCAGTTTTCAGTATCCTCGTATTAAAACAGGTGGCGATAAATGTGAAGCTGTTAAGAATGTAATGCGTGTTAGTTGGTGAGGTGATTAGTGATTTTGTTATTTTCTCAATGATTCTGAGGCCAATTTGTATTTTTGTTTACCAAAGATCAAGTCAAACTGGAAGAGCTTGCTGAACAAAATAGTTACGAATTTTTGTCCTGTGCAGCTTGAGGAGGTCACGGTAGATGATATTGTCAGTGTATCAATCCAGATAGTGATACGAGGCATATCTTAATAAATCCTTTTGTGATGTACTTAATAACTGTTGATTTCTTGGACTTTCTAAATGTTGAAGATGTAAATACTCACCCCTAGTGGTGTGAATTGTAAAAGCTGGTATGTGTAAGAATAGCATATCTTGAAGTTAATTTTTAACTTCCCTGTTTTTCTTTGATGGCTCTACACATCTGCTTTTCCTGCTTGAGAAAGAGGTGATAGGAAAAAAATCCCATTACTTTGACAGAGGCAGGATCTATGTTTATGTTGAATGAAGCTTTACTGGATCAGGGTATTGCTTTATTTTAACATGCAAACATGTTAAAATATGTTTGCAACAAGTTATTTAATGTTATGTTCTATTCAGTATTGGACTCTATAATAACTTTGGCAAGCCTCATATATCATACATCTGTAAAACAGCTGATTAGTAAAATACTGTGAGCTCTTCAGTGTCTTGCAGAATGGTAACATTATGTTTGCTGAGCAAGGGCTGCTAGGAAAACAACAGATAGTGACTTCTTATTTTGATTTTGACAACATCTTGAGCTTCATTTTGCACAGTTTACTTCTAAACCAATAGGAATACTAGCTCCTGTATTTAGGAATTAAATTTCAGTCAGGTCAAACTGAAATTACAGTGATCTTCAGGTTGTAATGTTACATGCTGAAGTTTGCCGTGCTGAAGTTAAGCCTTTTGTCTTAATGTGGCTCTTCATTCAGTTTGATTCTTTTCCTGACTGAAGAATCTCTCACTTAATACAGGATTAGTGAATTAAGTGTGTTGTTGTCGTGAGAATAAACAAAAAACTAAAATCTGAAACGTACAACCTGTTTTTCCCACGTCTAGCCTTCCCTTTCCCACCATCTGAAACCAGATATTTTTTTTTCTTTCTACAGTTCACATATTATTGCTAATAATAAAATGTTAAATTCAGGGATATTTACTTATTTTTTTGTCTCGGATTATTTTAAGGGCTTTCTGTTTTTATCTGGTTCCTGGTTTTATTATTTTTATGCTTACTTTTTACTCTTTGATGATCTTGAATTTCTTGGTCCTGTAGAGGAAGGCGTAAAAGGAAGAGTAGAAGTCCCTCCAAGTCTCCTAAATCATCCAAAACAACCAAAAGAAAGTCTTCACGAACTCCTTCTCCAAGAAGGTTGGTTTCTTGTAAACGTAAAGATTAATGAGCAGTAAAGAATCAAGAATTTTTCAGTATTTTCATTGGTTAACTGCTTTTGTACTGACAATCTCAGACTCTTTCATTTGGACAGTATGATGAATTTGAGCTTTGGTATGCTTTCACCTGGAGAATTCCAGATCTGTCAACAATGCAGATTTGCTTCAAATCTGTAAAAGCCCTTCACTGGATACAGGTGGATTTGGTTTTCTCTTCGCAAGTACCGTGCATACCGAACACATGTATTCCTCAGCTTGTATCAGTCAAAAAATGCCCTTGTCTTTACAAAAGGGGTTTTGTTAAAGTTTTGAGGCTTTTTGTGAAAACCCATAGATGAAAATCTAGTTTGCAGGTTGTTGCTGTTTGATCAGATTCTAATACGAGTAAAAATTTTCTTAAACAGAAGCAAGAAAGAAAAAAAGAGAGAGAGGGATACAAATAACGAAAGAAGAGAAAGAGAGCGCTCCACCTCCAAGAAAAAAAGTAGTAAAGAAAAAGAGGGAAAGGAGAAATCTGACAAACGCACCAGTACCTTGAAGGTAAGCTATGTATGACCAAGTAATAAGCAGAATGAAGAGGTGCTAGTGGAGTCAGTATTGAAATTCGCCTTTTTCTTTTTCTTTCTTTTTGTCCTCCCTTTTTTATCCTGTTTTCCTTATCAAATTATTACAATTTCTGTTTGGCTTTTGCCAGTAAAAACCTACAGTTGGTGTGTTAATGGGCCAGTTTCATACGTCTCCATTTTTGAACTTTGCTGGACATAGCAGCTTGTATGAGTAGGTTATGGAACCACTTTTTTTTGTTTCTCTTTCTTGCTCCATATGTTAGGACCCGGCTGACTGCCTATCTGTATGAGCAGGCAGGATCCAGACTGTGTAACTAAGAAGTGTTCAGGAACAGCTTGGTTGTCAAGCTGGAAAGATTACTTTTCCAATAAACTTTAACTGTTCAATTCAGCCTCTTTCTGGTTCCTTTGCCCCAGTGTGCATGTTGGACTCCACAGGAGTACAGTTGAAGAACTGGGGAAGAGTGCTATGGGATTTTTCCTGCAAAACAGAAGATGGTGTGATTAAGGAAAGAAACGTCTTCAGCTTTTTTCAATCTTAGTATTTGAAAAGCAGCATGCCTTTAAGAGTAGTTTGTTGTACTCAGAATTATTCAGCTGTTATAAACAGCTGATTTGGGTGACTTTGCCCACATGCTTAAGTAATTATCCATGAACTTTGTTAAAATGCATTGGGTATCTGCCAAAAACAATGAAAGAAAAAAGCTTAATCCTGTTTTATTTAGGAAATACAGAGAAATCTTCATTTCTGGAGCTGTTTCTAATAGGTTCTGTGATGCTAATTTGTTCTTAATATTGATCATAAAGACAGATTATGGCATTGATTTCTTGAATGACTAGTTGTTATGAGTGCCTAACTTCATCCAGTTGGAGAAGAAGCTGACACCTTTACTATAAAAATTGCTACGACAAGATAGGCGTGTAAAAATTGAACCAAAAATAACAAAAGGTGACTGGAAGTCATGAAAGTCATACCCTGTAATGCTAAGAATATGTTTTTTTTTGTAAAATAATTCTGTTTTTGGTAGGACAAAGATCACACTAAAGAGGATCAGAATTCAGAAACTGACAAGGAAGTAGACCGCAGAGATACAGAAAGGACAGATGAAGTCAAACTACAACAGAATGGGAACTGTCAACCAAATGAAGAAAACCTCTCAATTAAAATGGAAGAGGTTTAAAGCAAAGAGTGGGCATTTGATTCAACTAAGGAATGAAATCCAAAGCATTTTCCCAGAATGAGGAAGAAAATAAAGCAATCAACCTGATCATGTTGATAGTACTAGTAGCTCTTTCAATTGTTGTGATAGCTTTGTTGTCTTCTTGCTGTAAAGCAAGAGAGCATGGACCAGTAGTTATACCATGAAAAGGCAGATGCCATCAAAACTGTTCATCTCTGAAAATCCATGTGTTCTCATGATGGCTGTACTTAATTGTGAAATGATTTATGTTAAGTTTTGCCATAAGCAAACTTTCAGTAGAAACTGAAAGATGTAAACCTGTACTACCCAAAAGAAGCTGAAGATATGCATTGAAGTTTGTTTAAAATTCTGCTTGTTGATGATTTTGTGTTGTTTTACCTTTGTGGGTTAAAAATATCCACAAAAACTTCAGTGTGTACTGTTTGATGTGCTTGGAAATGGTGCATAAATATATGCACTTTTTTCTGTTGTAAATGACCCCAACAGAAAGGTGTTTAAATATAAACACAGTTTTACAGGTCTTCTGTTAAATACCCACTGACCAGTATGTTTTTCAGTTGCTTACTGCTTGAGATTCTTGGGGTTTATTATTTGAAAGAATTTCTTACTAGTATCCCTAAAGTTAGTATTTCTTTTAAAGTGTTTGAACAATGCATGTTACTTTTCTGTTCGTAAAAGGGACACTGTTATGTTATAGATAATAGGTCAGATTACTGAGTTATTTTGGGGTTGCTTTGTTGTTTTCTTTGTCCTTCCAGAAGTGAGCACTTCTGTATCATATTATCTGAATTACAGCTTTTGTTTTTAGCCGTACTGCAGTGTGTACAGCTGCAAATAGTACAGGTGCCATTATGAAAATAAAATTTTCTTATTTGTTTTAAAAAAAGTGGGAGCACAAGCAGACGCTTTAGTGCCTTCTTAAAATGTGGTATTTTCTAGAAACATACGTGTGCTGTTACTCATTTTCAACTAAATCTTACATGATCTCTATTGCTGTTTTGCCACCACTTTCCTGTAGACAAAAATGCAAGTGATTTGTCAGAATGGTTGCTATATTCACTTGTTAAAATACTGAAGTTCCATTTTTCTTCTTTTTTTTTTTTTTTTTTTGAAGAACAGATTTATAGATAAAAGCAAAAATGCAGTTTGGGGACCACCACTGTACAAAAGTAGTAGCTTAATACGAAGCATTTTCTGATCACCTGCATCAAAGACAGCCCTTTATAGACATTTAATCTACATTTGGATGGCCTTAATTAATTAAGAATGACCTGTCCCTCATCTTCTCTTACCTCTGCTGGGTGAAACAGAAGGAATTGCATATAAAGAAGAGGGCAGAATAATTTGGGGAAAAATTCTAATTACACAGGAGTTAAATGGTAGAGATTTTTTTTTTTTCTCTCATTCTTTGGGGAGAAGCAAGTAAGAGAATGACAAAGCAAATATTTTTGTCAAGGTAAAATATGGCTTGCCTTCTCAGAGCTAGCTTAGTTGGTTACATGAGATTTCTTAAGAGTCATTCCTTTAAAACTTACTATTTTTAATACAACTTAACACAATCAAATGACTTAATTGCCTTACCTCTTAGGAAGATTTAGTTGAATACAATACAGTTGGAAAAAAAACGCAATAGCATATTAGCTACTTGGTTTCAGTTTGATTTTTCAATTCTTCCAAAAAGAAAAAAACCCACCCTGTATTACAGGGAGTGAAAAATTTGCCCAATTCCTAAGGCAGTGAAACCCAGTTTGATTGTGAAGCTGCTTAATCACTCTTCATTCTCAGTAAGGTTTAGTGTTCTTGCCAGTGTGTACATTTAAGACTATAGAAAATGCTTTACCATGTAAAGTATAGACAGTCATTTTTGTGCTGTTGGCTGGTGAACAGCTTATTCTGATAAAAGAGTGGCAAATCTGTGTGCTTACAAGAAGACTATGAAGGATTGTGTCTTGCAACAACAGACGTCTTATTTATGATGTGTAAGCATAGAGCAAAGAGATTGTTTGTATACTTGTTATCTTTGGTACCATTTCACTAATAAAATCAAGTATTTTAGAGGGAAGTTTCCGCTAGTAAATACTTATTAAAGGAATATTTTTAGTTGATCTGGGTCTCATTCATGCAGCTTCTTTAATTAGAAATGTCTATACCAGTGAACATACAAATGTATTATAGTATCTTTGAAAAGCTGGGTTTCTTTTTTGGGAGGAATTGTAATTCTTGCAGTGTATCACATTTCAGTTGATACTAGCTTGATTTCTTGAGTTTTGTTATCCTGAAATTGAATAGTCATTAGAAATCAGTTGCAAAATATATAAAGGATTGTGTACAGTTAACTAAGCAACGTTCCTTTGGAAATTAATAGTGAAGGATGGCAGTCTTACTAATTTATCCCGAGTATAAGTCCATGTGCACCACACTGTTACATTGTTTGTGAATTAATAATTCCCTTACAAAAAAGCTTTGTACTTGTTTTGTTTTTAAAGGCAAGAACCCAAAACAACCAACCACCGAACCCAGACATTTCCTCCCCACCTCAAGTCATATTTTCTTAAAAATGCTGTATTTTCTGGGTTTGCTTTGTAAATATTGTGCAGATCTGTAGGGTAAAGTTTTGTCTATTTGTATTCGGTGTTTTGCAGTACCCCTCTTCCTAAAAAAGCCACTAGTAGAAAACCACTATTCTGTAAAATGCCTTTTTCTGCAGAGGATTGATCATTTTCAAACTGGTAGTGTAGCACAGTAATGAAGTCTCTGCTTGCTCCAGCAGGATTGTGTGCATCATCCATTAAACATGTTCATACTCCACTGGAATTGCCTTCATTGTTATCTGGTTTGCATGCTGAGCTGCCATGGTAGATTGCTTGGTTTTGCACTTCATAAATGAGATTACATGGAGTGACGTTTTGAGAACAGTGTAGTTCATGATAGTTTTACTGTTTTAAATGTAATTTCATTTGAGTCAGGCTTTATTTGAAAATACAACAGATAATTGCTTAGAAAAGTGATTAGCCATTTTGCCAAGACCATGTAAAGCATGTATGTGTAAGTTTCTGTTAGTGGCTACAGTTATTTCACAGCAGTGTTTCTGGGTAATGGATAGGCTTTTTCATAGGATTTTGAGGGAAGAGGATACAAGGCAACTGCTGGTGACTGAAACAGGATTCCAAGTTCAAAGTAGAGGTGGCTGTGACTTAGATAAAGTCAATAGGCTTACGCAAATGAGAGGGATGAAATTTTGATTGCAAACATTATTAGTATGATATGAAAATAATATTGTTAGAACTAAGGAGAAAAAAAGGCACTTCACTTAGAATCTAGAAACATGAAGAATACCTGAGATATCATGGAGATGTAGGTTTTACCTACTCATTAGTAACTTGCTCTCTTTTAATAGCAGTTTCAGATAGGTGCATCTGAACTGGCTTTGAATTACCTGGCTAATAGCAGCAACCTGTGCACAGCTTGGATTCTGAAATGAGCTGTGATCACTTGTGTTCCCTCTGCTGTAAAGAAGGTAAATGTCATAGCCTTTAGCATAGCTTGCATTGCTTGCTGGTGTTCCCTGAGCCAGTTACATCTAAGGCAATACCTGAAATAACTTTGAAACTGCAACTGTTTGTTACATGGTAGCTTCTCTGTGTTGCCTTCAGAAGGTACTGGTATTTTTGTAATAGTTACTAGATCTAGAGATTTATGTGATTTTATTTTGATCTGAGGAGGAGATAAGCAAAGGTTGCTTTGTGTGATAAAATTTTATACTTCATACCTGTCCTTATTATTCTGTACTTTTTCCATTTGTGTATGGCTGTTGCAAGCAGTAATGCTATAGTGATTGGTACGTGTTTTCTAGACTCATTTCTGCATCACTGTCTTCTTGTTAGTTTGTAATCAAGGTTAGAGTTCATGTATTTTAATTTTGCTAGCCATTCACTTGGGGGAAAAAAAAAAGACAAAAATAGTCTTAAATTTTGTAAATGTTAGTGTGAAAATTGCATTATGGCAGTAAACCAGCTAATTGTGAATTCTGAGCAATGACTTGCAAACTGGGGGATATTATGGGTACTGCCTGCCACTTGGTGTACTTCTAGTTTTATAGTAATTGATTATTGCCTTTGGTGTTATGGTTTTAAAAGTGAGAATTGGACTTAGTGACACAAATGCTGAGACCTGTAAATGGCTAAAGTAATGTAGGTGCTTAGTTCAGAAAGATGTGGTTTTCTTACCAGAGGCTGGAGCGTAGGCAGTTAAAATTTGTAGATACCATTATTACCTAAAGAGATTCTAAAACTTAATTTTGTTTGCTAATGTATGTAAACAGAAGAAAAGGTTTGAGCCTGTACCTTAGGTTTATTTTTATATGTTGAAAACTGTAATTAAAATAATATTGAAAACTAAGGCACTGTATGAAAAGGTGTTTGTTTTTTCTTTTAATGTAAGAAACTTTCAATGGTGTTTAATTTTAAACTTTAAAAGATGTCTTTGCATGCAGTGTTTATTTTTACTTCAAGAATATTTCATTTGTAGGCAAGTCCTATTGCAGGATCTGAGCACATTTGTCTGGGGATTTCTTCAATATTCTCTTCAATATAAAACAGCTTAATATAGTTGTCTGTGGAGGCAGCTACTTTCCACCTAGTTTGAGACACTCCTCCAGTACTATGATTGTGTATTGTTTAAGTAAATACAACGGTTGAGAAGCTATCCACAAACTTCAGGTTCCACAGTTTCCTGAAACTGTGAACTCTTACTATTCAAGAGGAAAAAAATCCTTTTTATTTAAATTGTCATCGTAGTTTTATCATTGTTGAGCTTAATACAGGAGAACATGGACAGCAAAACTAAGGTTTTAGCTGTTTATTTTCTGGTATGGTTCAACTTAAATTTGTTTCATTTTTTTATGTTAATATAATGCCAAAGACAAGACTTGAGATTTTTGGTGTATGAAGTATGTTCCCCGGTAAACTTGCTGGTGAAATTAATCTTCAGTTGAAAATGTTGCATATGAAATGAAAGACTTACCAGCAGTGGTAAAAGAATGATTTCAGCTTTGTTTCTTACTCCTTCATGTCATTAATGAGGCTGCCAGTAAAGTAGCTCTCTTGTGAGCTGTTGCTCTACTCAATAAAACCTTTCTTAGTGCAAAGGTATGGAACTACTGCTGCACTGATGAGTAAATTATGGGCCACTTAGAAATTACTACTTCATAAATACATCATTTTCATAGTAATCAACAGAATAAGTGATCTGCTCTGGAAACATCAGGAGAGTAACTTGACTTGCACAGTTCATGTAGTCTACCAGTATATTCCTTCTGGTATTTTTCCCAGTGATGCAAGGAGCTATGGTTTGTTACACACAGCACCTATCACAGTCTGAGATCAGGTATACCTCAAGAACCTAAGCAGTACAGCAGCAAAAAATACTGTTCCCCTTAAGTTTGGTATTTCTGGTAATAAAGTAGGTCTTTCAAGTTTAATAAACATTACCAAAATGGAACAAATTTAGTTTATTTTTGCATTAGTGAAGAAACTATGAAGGGGTACAAGTAGAGAACTTTCAAATGCTATTATGTTGTTGCTGTTTTTGTAAATAATGCCCCGAAGTTTTGATGGTGTCATAAAATCACTTTTTTTTTTTTTATGAGATACAGCAAATGACTGTAGGGCATTTCGACTTTCTCGTTTATTTATTTATTAGGCTGCATCTGCCCCAGAAAGTCGAGTGCTTTGTAAGTAGGTCTGTTGGGACTGATACTGACAAGAATATTACATGAAAAGGAGTGAGGGGTTAACTAACTAAACGCATTTGTCACTGTTTAGTTAAATCTCCTGGCCTAACGGGATTTTGTTCTCCAGAGAAAGCTACCATAGTTCCACCAGGGAAGTTCGTCTTTCAAACAGGAAGTTAAGAAGTGTGGCTGCATAAAGTGTTTCTCAATTTATTTTCTTTCTTCTTTTTAAGGTAGGATCAGGAGTTCACGCAGAGCTTCTGACAGTACATGTCGATCTATTGCCATGGATATTTTTCATATTAAAATTCACTTAAGCTTCCCTGTTGCATTGTACAATGTGTAAGAGTCTAAATAACAGGCAATGGTTAAGGAACAAAAGTTTTGAGGTCTGCTTCTCAACATAACTTGTTTGGTAGGGATGTGATCTTTAGATTTTTGGGAGCAGTT